TGGCGCGCCGCGCGGAGGGGGGGAGGCAGGGGCGTGGCCTGCGGGGGGCGGGGCCAGCGGCAGGCCACGCCCCCAGGGGCGCCCTCACTCCTCGCCCCTGGGCCCGCCGTGGGCGGCCTGTCCCTACATGTCAATTATTAAGGCAACTTTCCCGTTGTTAATCACTGCTGTTAATTGCTGTTAATTATCGGGCTCCCCCCACTGCTCCCAGCGCCCCCCACTCCCAGCGCCCCCCATTCCCAGTGCCCCCCAGTGCTCCCAGCGCCCCCCCACTCCCCGCTGCGGGAAACAGGAAGCGGCGCGAGGGCGGGAAAGGCCCGCCCTTCGGCGGGAGCCAATRGGAAGCGGAGCGGAGCGGAAGGGCCGCCATTAGCGAGGCGGAAATGGGGAGGGCGCCTCGGTGCGCCCGCTTGCGGCCTCCGTGGATACGCGCGATCTGCGAGTCTAGGTTCCGCCTGCGGGGGGGGCCGCGTGGCCCTCGGCGCTCGCCGAGACGGGAMTCAGACTCCACCCACCACCACAGAGAAGAGGGAGAATCGGTATCATAGAGAGCAGGACGAGCGGGCTGGCATTCCCACCATAGAGATGGGAGCCAACTCAACCGCCCACCATAGAGATGTGGGAGGACCAGCACCATAGAGAGGAGCAGGACTGGACTGGACCGGGCTTCCCACCATAGAGACTGATGCCAGACTCAGCGACATACCATAGAGATGGGGGAAGCCCAGCACTATAGAGAAGATGACTGCATTCCACACCATAGAGACTGGGGCCAGACTCCACCATGTACCATAGAGATGCGGGGAGGACCGTGTAGAGCCAGAGCGGCACTTGAACCGCCTGTATTTTTCTTTCCCCCATGCGCGACGGGGCCAAAGCCGCCATGTTTGGGGGGGGACAGGGAGCGAGCAGAGCGCGGCGCTAGGCGTGCTGGCGGCGCCACACGATGACGGTGCCCGCGGCGTCGCTGGAGGCCAGGAGGCTCTCGTCGCAGTTGAAGGCCACGGCCAGCACGGGGCCCCCGTGGCCCTGCAGGGAGTTGACGGCGGCGCGGGCGGCGGCGCGGGCCACGTCGAAGAAGTAGACGGAGGCGTCCTCGCTGCCCGTCACTGCGGGGGGG